GGGGGACGTTTCCCCTTGCACCATGTACCTGTATTCCTGGCATTATGGCCTAGACCCGGAAACGATGCTGTTGGAGATGCAGGTCGAATTTTGTCTGAGTAGGGAGGCCTCCGTGCCCTGCAGGAATACTGACCGGTAATCAGATAGTGAGACGATCGGCAGGATGTAGCAGTTCGAGGGCTCAAGACTGTCGACGAGAGTGTCAGGTCGATGTGGTGGTCGCGGTAGTCCGGACGCAAGCGAGCTCACCGGCAAGAGCTTATGGTTGCCATTAGAGGGTTTCAATAGATGGTCTAGTTGGCTTCTATGGCGTCCCCCGAAGCCACGAGAGGGTGGCGACATTCTCATCTAGGAGAACGCATGCGGGTCGATCACACGTGAGACTTACATCGGTGTGGTGTGGAGAATCTTGTGCGTTGAGCGACACCAAGTTCATGTGTGAGGGAGGATGGCCTGGGGACGTGGGTTCATTTCGTGTCTCGCCCACGAGGTAGACGGGCCCGATGTTGAACAAGCCGGCGGCATGACACATGTTTCCTCATGCCCAGTACACCAGCAGCGATTGTCTCGTAGCTGGTGTTGGCCTCTGGAAAACAGTTTGGCTAGGTTGTAAAGCACCTCCGTTCATTACACACAAGGCGTGGGCGACACATGATGTCCTGCGTTACATGTGTATTTTGACCAGGCAATGCGGCTCATCGTGCTTTCGTCTCGTGCAGGGTCCATCCCCGAGTCGCTTGGAGCTCTCAGCGAGCTGCAGGTGCTTTTCATGCACGAAAACAAGCTCACTGGTGAGATAGGATGGCGTGCGAAGATTGATTCTTTGGTGTCTCGCCCACGCGGTAGGTCGGACCGATGTTCAACCAGCCGGCCGCATCATACCTTTTTACCACGCCGCGCCCACCAGCGGCGATCTACAATAACGAGATCACCATTTTGCTCTTTCGATTTTTGCAGGGTCCATCCCGAAAGAGCTAGGAGGTCTCGGCAAGTTGAAAGCTCTCCGGCTCAGCGGCAACGAACTTACCGGTAAGGGAGAGTGAAACTCCGTACGATGTGAGAGCCATTTCGCGTAGGACTCCCAGGTGATGGTTTGCCGTAGACCCGCTCAAACTTCATGATATCGTGTGATAGCAGTCGTTTGGATCTGCCGGTCGTGCTTTACTGGAACCCCTCCGTCCCGAAGGACCTCGTCCGTGTATGCCGCTGTTGTATTCGACGACACGCTGCCTGCCTATTCAAGTCCCTCACTTTGAATGATGCATTTGGCGGCGCCTCGGGCAAGAGCGTTGCCTCTGTTTAACCATACTTGAATACATTGCGGTCTAGGTGATTCCGCTCTCACACTTGCATCACTGTTTGGGCGGGGGACTTTTCCCCTTGTATCATGCATGACTGTATTTCTGGAGTTGTTACCCAAACCCGGAACCAATCCTCTTGGGAGTAGGCAGGCCTTGGTGTTCTGCTACAATACTGGTAGTCAGAAAAGTGAGACGATCGGCAGGATCTTAACGTTTTGAGAGCTTGAGACCATTGATCTGAATGTCGGGTCGATGTATTGGTTGCGGTAGTCCGGACGCAAGCGATCTCACCGGCAACAGGGTTTGAACGGCCTTGCTCGGGTTCCAGTAAGGGGGTCTGGTTGGCTCGTATAGCATCGCGAGACCCTCATGAAGACGAACGTGTCTGCTTTGTGTCTGGCGGTTGTACCGTAGCAGGGCTCTTCCCCAAAGTGCCGGGGATGCATCCCGCCTACAGACCCCCTGTTGGGTATTCCTCGAGATTCTGCCACAGGTCGTCCCGGTGGTCTAGAGACTCGTGGTACACTCGGAACCGCTAGTGGCAAAGTCGTCGTGAGTTCGAGTCCCCATGGGGTGAAAAATTTACAAATTTGTGGGTGAAAGCGTAAAGAAAGGATGAAAACGTCGTTAGTACCAATCTTCGGCATTTGCACCCTTGACGAGGGAAAGGGACGGCCGAACCCTTCTCGCGAGAGAAAATGTACACTCAGCACGCTTAGCAGCAGTAACGTGGGGCACGAAAATAGAAAGTAAAAAGCAATAAGCCACGGTGCTTACCCCCTCCTGGGTGACCCTGGATGGTCGTGGTTGTACGAAAAAAATACTCTGAAAGGTGCAGTCCCTTTTGTACACTGAAACACGTGTGGTGCACGTCTCACCACGAAAAGTGGGGGCTTTCGCCATAATACAAATGGCGAAAACACACAAAACGCGTCTGGCGATATCGTGGCCGCGTTCTGTACATCGGTGGAGGTCGGGAAATGGTTCTGGTCGCTTTAGCCCTCGCGGCACTGCCCTCCGCACGGGGTTGGAGTCAACAACACTAAGGGCCGTTTTAATCATAGTGGTTTATTCCAAATTTGGAAGTCATCGAAAAAATGTGAACGTGATAAGGGCCCCAAAGCTTTGGAACGGTAGGTTTCAAATCTTCGGAAATTTTCCAAAGCTTTTGCCTTCGATCGCGCCACGCATATTTACCAAATTGAATTTGGAACATTCCAAATATTTGGAGAAATTTGGAGAAACGGTGCTCTGTTTACAACGGCCCTAATCCAACCGCGCGTTGTATTGTGGCGACTGTGCGAGGCACTTCCTACAATATCCACCGCGGCAGCACAGCGGTCGGTCTTCGTAGGGGTTCAAGCAGGTTACTGTGAGACGGTCACAACCCCTCTGCGCGTCGTCATCGCAGCTCAGGACGCGCCATGCATCACAGCTTGATACTATGTATTATACATCTCGTTTGCGCTTTGCCTCGGAACCTATCGACTAAGCACTGTATATCGAGGCTTCAGGAATTGCCTTGACCTCTGTTTGTTCCGTGTACTTGCAAACGTTTTTCACAAGAATGATGACCTCCGAGCTTCCAATAGTTGTACATCGTGGAGGCCAAATAAGGCATGGCTCAGGCGGTTGCCTTTGCTCCTGCGCTCTGCATCTGTGTCCCTGGAGTTGTCGTCTAAACCCAGGACCGATGTCATTGAAGCGGAAGGTCCTGTCCCCCCTCACCGGGGACGTACCACGCTGTGACGGGGCCGGTAGCCAGCAAGCAGACGATGACAAATATTCTCATGTTGGGGAGCTTGGGGTGCTTGGCCTGAGTGTGGGGCCGACCT